GCGATTTTTTTGGCTTGTAGAGTGTCTTCCGGTTTACATTGTTGGCCACCCTAAGTATGATCTAGACTCTGCTGCATTCTTCTACGAAAATTTTATCACCACGTTGCCGATAAGGAAAATCTCTTGTGATATACTCGTACCTCACAATCAACAACGGAACTTGAAGATGCGATCTCGTTAAGTGTTACATAGGTAAGGTGTTCTTACGAGTCCTATTCTTTTCTTCTCAACTATCTTACCCGTCAAAATGTTTTGAAGGCGTTTATCGCACTAAGAACACAACAAATTACTTTTATCTTTTACCGATATGCTATTGCTTATTAATAGGGAGTTTGTGCACGCTATAGCGTCAGCATTATCGATCTTCTGCGCATGCGGAGATGCAATGAAGGGGGCGAAATTTGAACTGCGCATCGCAGAAGAGCGATTGTCTTCGATCCCAGCAGTGCCCAGGTTCGAGTCCCTACATTGACCACATTTTCGACAGTAGCTTGTCAGCTATGTTCAATTCAATCGCTTTCTGAAGGAGAATTCTAGCGGCCGGCTGTTCAGATCGGTAGTTTTCCGTACTTTCGCCTATCAACACCGAGCAAATGCCAGAGCAGTATCCTAACAAACAAGCCGCGGATCGCGTGTGATCTTTCCTTCCTCTTCCTTTGCTGTCGTCTCCCCTTGCACACACAGTAACATTCTCTGCTACACTTCCACACATGTCGAAACCTTAGAGCTTGTCCCGACTGGGGCGGTGCCCCACAGATGGAAGATATGTGGTTGGAGGAACCTCCGCTACCCGAAGGTAGGGCGGCGCCATCTCCAGAGGAAAAACACATGCACTACACTTAGAGGACTAATGACTTCAGTAGTTGACACGCCCGAATCACCAACAAACAACCAATATCGAAGCGCAGTATACTCGGAAGGTCACTGTGTAATATTTATAAGCACAACCTCGAACGTTATAGGAGAATAGAAATTATCAAGAATCCGCCATGGGGAAACGAAGTGTGTCTCACCTAACTGCAGGGAGAATTTGCTCATTTAGTTGCGGAGAAGATGATGATGACTTTTTTCCTCCTAAAATAACTCATTCTGTATCAAAAGTGTGTAAAGAAGGTTAATCGTAACGAATGAAACATTATTTTCTTCTCAGAAGTAGTGCAATCAATTATCCAGAATTCTAGGGCACATTAGGAATTATCGAATTGGGCAGTTTTCTGCCTCTTGCGAAATGTATTCACGCCAGTTTGGCATATAAGACTCACGGATGAGAAATAAAAAAAATATTGTGTAGCTCTTAAAATAGGTATTCGATTTTTAAAATATGTCGCAGTCAACATAACTTGTGGCTTCAATATAACACGAGTACGCTTGAATAATCTTTAGAAAACTGTCTTGGGAAAAAAGGGTATTTTGAAAAACTCAAATTTTAAAAGTGAAATAATTACGTAGTAATTCAGATGACATTAGTTTGCTCTCAAAAAGATGAATCGATTGGCAATTTTTTGGCTATCTTTCTAAAATATTCTGAAAGAATGATAGATAAAACATTTTTTTCAAGGTTTATCCAGTGCTGTAACACTGTGTATTACTGCCTCAGCTTTTCAGCTTAACCTGAAGTCTTAGGGTATGATTCATTATATTGAATAGAGTTATTTATTATAATGAGAATAGTTAAACCTATCATTGCAATGAAATACGAATTTTAAAAAAAGTTCTATCGATAATTTTTCATTTAAGTCCCCTTTCTGATATGTAAGCCACGCAACTTTCTTTTTTTCAAAATTTCCTTTTAATATGAACTCGAATAGCACACACACACACTCACAAATTGCCAACATGAAAGAACCAAAGGCGAGGGACGAATCAAAAGATCGAAATGGCCTATCTCAGTCTGTAATTAAAAAATACAGATTTAAATAGGTGGTCACTGTTGCTCAAGTCAGTAGACATAAATCAGGATTGTGGTATTCATAAATTAAATAGCTTAAGAAAAACATTACTGAAAATTGTTCAAATACAACTATGACCGACAAATTACGGTCGTACAGTAATCGGTAGGTACATACTAAAAGTAGTACAACTTCCACCTGCTAGTGTGATGGCAAATATGAAAATACATCTTCATAATGGAAATGAAATACTAGAACGTTTTAACAACTCTAATAAATGTTTGGCAAAAGTACAACTATTTGTACTAATAATGTATGTAAAATCTTTGTACTATTGAGCAGATTTAAAGTGTATCATTTGTTGTAAACGGAGATCAAATTATAATAATAATAATAATAATAATAATAATAATACCTAAGCATCTATATAGATACTCATCTTACATGAAAACCACACATTATTTAAAGACTAAATAAAACTTATAGAGCTCTACTCCAATTATATACGCGTATTAACTAAAAATTATTTCCAAAAATTGAAAATTTTGGGTTTTGTTACAAATCAGTCCTAAGACCTTCAATAACTTACGCAGCCCCAATCCGGGGAGGTGCCACTTCTTCCGTTATTAAACCCTCACAAACCTTCCAAAAATAAAATACTTCTTACAATTACCAATGCTCCATGGTATTTAGCCAAAAGTCGACTACATATAGAAGTAGACATAGAACCAACTACAAACTATATTTCCTTACAGTCGTCTAAGTTATTTTCTAAAATACACACTCCCCAGTGCACCAGCTACTTTAACCACAGGATAACCAGTGTTGCTCCTTCAAGAATTAAATCTCGTCTCCCAAAAATTCTGTTACGCCCCCATAAGTTAGAGGAATGTTTGTACCACTTTTGTCTCTATATCTTGCTTACTTTCTTGTTAGATTAAATTTCACAAAATTAACAACAATCATCATAGAGGTACCCAGTGTGGGTGTCTTCGGTCAGAAAGAGGAGTATGATAGTGCGCTAATTTACAAATACGTGTAACTTTGAGCCACTATTGATTTTAATTAATGCTAATACTAACCTGTAAAATGGTAATTCCACTGATCTGGTACAAGAAATTTTTAAAAAATATATATTCATTTGCAGGTGAATTGAAGTTAAAAATTGGTAAAGTTGAACTGAAGTGTGTTTCGTACCCTAAGAAAATGAAATAGTAATTATCTGAGTTGAGTAATAATGTGTTCTAAAATATGACTATAATTAGTATGTCAAGAACTAATGTTTTCGGGAAGAAAATATCTAGAATTATTCTCATAGTTGAAATAAAATAACATTTTTTCTCACGGTTGGTAAATCATTTTATTAAAAAAGAAAGCAATTGTAAGGTGAAATTGCGGAACCTTAATATTTATTAGTATATTACAAAACATGTATTTACCCCAATAATAATACTCCCTTTCGTTCTCATATTTAGATTTCTCGTATCCTGCAACCATTTTGTTTACGGCTTATTTGGAAAAAGAAATTTTTAAAAATTATTTACTCGTTAACTTTTACAACAGTATGTGGTGTGTACGCAAGTTCACTAAAATAAAATACTTTGTTTACAAAACTCATTTGCACTAACTCTTGCGACCAGTTAAATTCATTCACATATCACATATTTTTAATACCTTGGAACTGCGTTCAAAACAAAACAAAAATAATATTATCTGCCACGCACGAGTTGATTACATAATCTCACAAATTAAATCTGTCCGTTATTAACACTTTCAAATAAACGCCGAGAACTTGTAAATCAATGAAATTCGTTTTTATGTACTCTTAAATTAACTGTACACACAACGCGAAAGTCGACTAACATTCCTGTGAGGCATATTGAAAACCGCTGTTCCCCCACCCCGCCAGAGTGAGGGAATTTGCTCAATTAAAAAGTCCGTTTCGCCGCCTAAATTATTCCATTACTGCATTCTAACGCGACCTACCTGCCCTCTGGCGGCGCGGTGCGGCGAGCCCTCCGTTGAATAATGGTGGAAATCCCGGGCTGTAAATCTCTGCTAGCCCCCATATGAAGACGTAAGCCCCGTGTAATGCCTTGACTGCACAATATGTGGCGGCCATTTTCGTTACAGGCGTAAAGCACGAGCGGGAGGCTCGCTGGAGGGCCACGAAAAAAAATGAAGGGCGGCGGGCGACGTGCAAAAATCGCAGGCGTCGGCCCGAGGGCAGAAGGAGGGGAAGGC